TTTTCAATGGAGCTTGAATTAGTTCAGTGCACCCCAGAAAGCATGGTTAAGTACTGGCTTCTACGTCTTCACTCCCCCCGAACGGAAATGGTCGTAACCTACAGGTTCATGACCCCATTCACGGTCCCCATTGAGGACAGGAAGGCAGATGGCCACTTTTCGGCCGCCAGCAAAAAGAGGAAAAGTAAAACTGCAGAGGAATGCATTACAATAAAAATGATCAGTCTGTTTTTTAGGTAGCACAAAAGTAGAAATTTGCATGCTACAAAGACACCAAATCTACTTTCCCACTCTTCTGATAGCAGAAAAGCAGACGGCCACTTTTGGTCCTCCATAGTTTTCCCTAGTAGTATTTCAATACCTACCCCCCAAAAAGGAAAAGGTAAAAAGGAGGAGGGGAACAATAAAACAAGAAAGATGACAAAAATCACCACCATTTCCCTAAACTGGCCCCCCCCCACCATTTACTTTTTTCCGCTGACTGATGAGTGCCTAAAACCCCCTCCGCCTTTGGGAAAGATCCTCCCGGGAGATGTCTCACAAGAGGCGTATAAATTAAGTTCCCGGTAAATGCACTTACCACTGTTGTTTATCACAGGAAACCGAAACATCTACCCAATACCTGCTTTCAGCACAAAGCGAAGGCAACGACAAACCTACACTGCCTGAAAAGTTCTCTGAGATGCTGAAACTCACACGTAGAGAAAACGACAAAGGCCAAGCTGCCACAGACACTACGCTGCCAACTGGAGTTGTGACAAACCAGCCAATAAACGCAGTGGGTATACCAACTACGCATACGCAGACTAATCATGAATGGTCATCACAGATCTCAAGTGGAGATGGAGCTACTATCAGCAGCAATCAGAGTAATGCAGAGCGGAACAAGAAGGCCGGCTCCAATGATGTAAGCATGCAAACGAATGACAACAGTCAGTGACGCTGACTACTATTTAGGGAAACTTTGTATCTTGGATATTGTGGATTAGTGCCTGTAACACCAAATTTATTATATCACACTTTTCTCCAGAATGCTTGCAACCGAATGGCTGATCTTCAAAAAACAACCCTGCACTGGATCAAGACATTATGTGAAGCGCTAAAACGACAGCCAGTTATTGTGAGAGTGGTCCTGTTGGTTACAGTGGGGTTATCAAGTTTACTTTTTACTGTGATTGCTTATAAGTTGTTGTGTCCAAGGCTATATCGAAGGGAAGGAATAGAGAAACTTTATGATATTGAGGACAGCTGGCTCTTGTTTGCCTAATAACTAGCAACCCAGGAGGCCTCGATGTATAGATGATTTTCCTTAGTTGTGGATTACTCTTTTATATATTAAAAATATATTTCAAAGTTTGTCTCAGTAAAACTGATACTCAAGATATGGGTAGAACACAAGACTTCATGCCGTGTTAACATTGCTTTAAATGACTTCTAGCATTTGATCTCCAACCACCAATACCCAAATGATTCCATCCACAATTATAGCAGAGCCCAGCAACATATCACAGGACGTTTTAGATGCCTCCTTCCATCAATGACTGATATCATTGTGTGGGGGTTGTACAAAGCAACTACCACTGGACAGCAACTCCATACAAATATTATCACAATGATTTCACCACTCGATAGAGGGGGCCACCTTGAAAGACTAATGACAGCATTAACACGGTCGCTGGATTTGTCTAGATAGGGGAAGCAAATGCTCTACTATATTTCACTCAAGTGGTGGACAGGTATTTGAGTACAGACACATTTACAGGAGGAAGTTGTGTACCAGAAAAAGTTCACACTCACAATACATTTTATTCATGTCAACAAAACATCAATAATGTCATAATACAAGCTTCTAAGACTGAGTTTCTTTTTCCAAAGTTTGGTGTAAGTACGGAACGGTGTCTAACCTTAGACTTTTAAATGTTTAATTGAAATAAAAAACAAAAACAAATGCAGTTTGGTGGTCTGCATGACAGAAAATTAAAGTGAATTACTCCAGATTGCAAAATTAACAAACAAAACGATACATTAGGGTTTTACACACCATCAATACAAATGCATTCCTGTCTTCTGTATAGATTAATTTCCTTTATTACATGAGTCATCATCACTATTAAACCTTCTTTTTCTTTGAGTTAAGATGGTTTGGATACAATTCAATTTAATGCTGTGCCAAAAATGCAGAGTAATTACTAATTACATGCATATATAAATAGTTAAATGTGATTGCAACATTACAATATGAAAACCACCCATCAAAAACGACCATTAAAAACAAAATATCTTCGCAGCAACTTTGAAACTTTGTATGGAGTACAAAAATAAAATTAAAAGACTCCAATCTATTTAAAGTCAATTGTGAATAGCTCCATCCAAATTCTTTATGAAAGCATCACCTGAGAGCACTCAATTAAATTATGGAAAGTACCGGAGACTTGTTGAAAGTTACTTTTCCTAATGTTTTAACCTGAAATTGACCAATACCGGACTGCTGTTGACTGTACAGTAGTTGTAGTGATTATAATTGTGTCAAGGTGCACAATGCACAAACAAGTGACAAGCACATCTCCATCAAAGTTCCAATGCATCTTTCAGCAACCTGGCAACATCCGTGGCATTCTTGGCATCTTCACCTACACAAAAACAAAAGTGAATGAAATTCTCCCTGGAAAACCAATAACGTACACGTTGACACAATTTGTGAAACTAGGTTTCAACATTATCTTCAAGTGGCTCAGCTGAGGCAAACCTGCTTCTTGCTGGGGTTTCTGTGATTTATATCAGGTTTGGACTAACAACTTTCATTTTCAGCTGTGAGTTGAATTTTCAATTAGAACATATTCAAAGTTGAAGCAGGCTATTTGTTTGAAAGTGGTCGCTAAATTCAGCATTTGGTAGGAAGGCATGTGATTTTGTATTTTCGTTTTAATTTCTGTACATTTGGTAATTTTTTTGTCATTTCAAAAAGGAGAAATGATGAAAAGATGCATGATCTCATACCCTTTACAATTTAATTTAGTTTATTTATTTAGTGTTTTTGAAAGTATTGCAATTTTTATGGAATATATTGATCTCAGAAGTGGGTTGTTCCTAATGTCTGGCAGATAAGCTGTAAGCTAAAGTCTGGCACATACCCTCGCATGCTTTAAACAACATTTTGACCATGCATTTGAAAGTTTCATGTATTGCTATATCATACAAGTTGCTATAATGGTCAGCAGTATTGAAATCTCACAATCACTGTGCATGGTAACTGGAGCAATGATAGAATCTTGAAAGAATCAGTGGTCATGTATACATTTATCTTTGAACTGAAAGTAGGGACAAAATTAATTCAACAAAATACTGGACAGAGGAACCCATAAATTCAATTTCTTGCATTACTGTTTATGTACTGGCCAACTTGACAAACTAAATTTGTACCACTGAAATTAAGGCTAATTTGAATGTATCAAAGTACACTGTTTAAGTTGAGTTAAGCTGAAGGATTCATTTTACAACTGCATGATTTTAGATAAACCCAACAATCACTTTAGTCATGCGTTACTTAATTGAATGTGCTCATCTGAATGTACATTCAAATTCTTCTGAAACTAATTTTTCATCAGTTCTGCTGACAAATAACTTCACTAGCCAAGAAAGCCTGTATTTTCAAGATGTATGTAAAGCCTGTATTACCGTGATATTATGTGAACCAAAGTAATGACGTAATTTAAAAGCAAAGTAAAAAAAAAAAAAACCAACCAAAACAAACAAAAAACTGAAGGCAGGGCATCCAATAAATGCTACGTTTTAAAGATACAATCAAATGTAATTGCACCATGCCCCATTTTGGTTTAGTTCTATATTGTAATTTGACAACCAGACTGAGAAACCATTACCAGGTACTTCCGTGGTACAACACTCGTGGACAGGTGGTACAAGTGTGTTACATGCCTGCTTGACCAATATTAGGCAGTCGTGATTTGCTACATGCACGTGTAGGTCACCTGAAGAATGTGCATGTGGGTGCAGTGTCACCACAGTTTTGGCGTCTAATCAGATAAGTCTATAGTGTAATTCCACCACCAGAATTATAATCCATTACTGCGGTGGCACAATGCTCATGGACAGGTGGTATGTGCGCGTTACCTGCCTCTTCGACCAACGGGGCGTCGTGATTTGCTAAACGCATGCACGTGTCAAGCTGAAAAATGTTCATGTGAGTGCAGCGTTACCACAGTTTTGGCATCTAATCAGGTAAGTCTACAGCAATAGCTGCTCTGATTAAATCCCAGTTCTTTTGAAAAATGGCACTTTTGTTTTTTATACAATAGTCACCTACTTTGCAAATGATTATGATTAAACTAAGGCATGTTTTGAATATTCATTTAAAAGGTCACCATACATTATTAAACGTCACAAAATTATTCCTGAGCAAATGGATGAAATAACAAATTCAAGGCCAACATTTTGTTTCTAAGCTGCAGAATTCCATGTGTCTTGCACGGATTAAAAACGACTGGTCCCGTTAGGATTACAAGTCACGGAATAAATGTCTAAGAGGTGGTTTCCAGAGGGAGTTTTTGGTGCTACCAGAAAAAACTACAGCACAGCTGTGAGCAGGACACTAAATGGGATGATGTCACCTGGGCATGTATTATTTTTACCTCCCCAGATGCCTAGTAAAATCGGCCAACTATGCACTCTGATTTGCTCATTAATATTTAAGAGATGTAGCAGTGGTTTTATCCAAGTCTATCCATCAAACCCACAGTCCATGCAATGCCTACCAGTACCATGGTGACAGTAAATAGGTCCGTTTACTGTTTGTCTTTACCTGAACAGTCATTTCTTGTCATTTGTTCCTCTAGCTGCAGTTTATACTGTGCACATCTTAGCATGCCTTCCTCAATGGAGTTGCTGCTGATTAGTTTTGTCACTGTAACATCTCTGTAGATACGATCACAAAGACAAAATAGTTGTCTGTTTAACTAGGATAATGATGCAGATGTGCTAGGCCCAGTGGGATAAATACCGATCAAAGTAGGTATGTAAATAATCACCAGAGGTTTTGGTATACATTTGTATTTTCCTAAGGGCATCCCTTAAAGAATACCCATTTTTAGTGTTCTTCATTAACCTTTATACGTAATTTAGGATTTAACTAGGATTTAGGATCAAACTTAGGATTGTCCAGATTTTAAAAGAAATTGTTTGGAAAACACTGAAATCAGAAAATTCCTGACGACAAAAACTCTGAACTCAAGAAAATGGACAAATCTCACGCTTGCTATTTACCAAGCATGCTGTGCATCAAAGCAAAGCCTATATCAAGAAGTTCATAGATCCTGTTATCACTAGGCTGTTATTTTAAATATTCTACCTTCCCTGCTGTTCAAATCTCAATAGAGGGTGATGTTAATATACCCACACATAACAATTTACAGCCCATGTGACAAAACTCAAGATATTATCTTTAAATTGTGACAGGATGGCACAGAAATGCGGTTGTGCTTATCATGCTTTAGTGTATGACAAGTTGCTATTGTATTGATTTAACAAGCTCTACAGGTACAAATGTACATGTAGATGGTGAATAATCAGACAAATTGAGTATGATCTTAAAATAGACTGGCGTGCATGACAGTTGGGTAATATATGTCACCAATATATAATCAGTGTCTGATCCAGCCACCTGTCCTGAGGACACACAAAAACAAACTTGGGACACAGAATATGCTTATTCAAAATTTACAAGCCCTCATTTTTTGCTTGAATCTTTAACATGACAGACAAGTCTTCAAACTTCGTTTCAAAATATTGGGTGTGATGGAAATACGGCCTCAGACAGCACCAGGGGTGTCGGTTTCAAAAATTTTCCTGGGACTGGACAGGCAGATATTTCAATCCCACATGAAACAAAGAATATAACATGTACATGTGGTGTACAACACAGATGCAAAACTACATTTTACACTGTATAGCAGACCATGCAAAATCAATATCTTATACTGTGTCACGTTATATTTCCCCAGCAACATATTGATTTTTATGGAATGATAAAAAAAAATTGTCTGATTTTGCTGGCCCTCAAAATGTTAATATGTAAGCACAGAAAGCCAGGCGTTCCCTGCACAAGGTGTCCTTTCTTGCATTGTGTGGACATCTTTTGTCCACAAGTCCACACTAGGTCTGTAAGGTTAGCGCATGAATAGTATTGCCAACATTGCACTATCATGATGGAAGGGCAAGTTTGTCCATTTTTTCCCCCCAGTTCATAATTCAAATGAGCTATCTCCTGAGTTGTTATACACTGTAAAAGGTACAGATACTTTGCAATAGATGGCTGATGACTTGCTGGTTCAGAGTAAAGATGACAAACTGTGCATGTGCACAGTGAATAAGCCAATCAGATAAAGGGTAAATTGTGACCTCACTGACCAAAAACATACATGTAGCTGACAAAGTCTACGGTGACCAAAGACTTTGATACATCAAACTCATTTTATTTTGGTGGAATAAAATCTCTCCACAAATGATTGGAGAAGTTTATGTTTGTGAGGTGCTGAAATGACAGCTGAGCATTTCTGGAGTTTTGGAACACATTTGTTTCCTTGGTATTAAAAATATAATGAGAGGAATACACTCTAGTTTCACATCAAGGAACATCTAGATGCAGTTAACAACACTTTAAACACTGGATGGGCTTCCATCACTCTCACAGAAACAAAAAGGCCACAAGGTGTGGAATGAATATTTTGTGGCTTCCATGTCTTCATATCTAAAGTACATTGAGGGGAGCCAAAATTTAATAATGTGGTATTGCACCTGACAGAGGGCCAAACATGAAAATGACAAATAATAAATACATTCAGCTCTTTTATAGATCATGAGTTACTTCCTGTTTACTGCAATCATGTAATCAACTACACCAATCATGACAAGATATTATCATATGTCAGAGCCACGACAGAAGTGATATTGACGTGATGATGCTTATGGGCATCCTACAATAGATACATATTGTTATATATACAAAATCAAAATTGTATGCCCGTAACTTAATCTAAACAGGACCATAAATTTAGTGAAACATTTGTCATTTGTCTGGAAAAATACACTTTGCTGGGTAAAAACCTACTTTCAGAAAAACAAACAATATTTACAAAAAAAAAAAAGAAAAGAAAAAAGGGCGTAGCCTTGAAAAATCCACTCAGGTGGTAATGTAAATATTAATTTCAACTAGTCTTGCCCATATCACAACTTGTAATTTTTGTCTTCTGTGTTTCAATCATTTGTCCCGTTCCACATGAACTAGGACCATACACGTACATACCTCTTTTGTCCAACACGATGACACCTGTCCTCGGCTTGTTTGTCATTATACGGATTGTAATCAATATCATGAAGGATGACATGATTGGCTGAGGTTAAATTGATACCCAGACCCCCAGCACGTGTTGACAAGAGAAAGACAAATATATCTTCATCGCTGTTATACTTGTCAATCAGAGCAAGCCTGTAGCAGTAAAAGAAACAAGAATTATGAAGCATCATTCAAAGCAAGAAGTTTCAGCATGAGTTACTATCAACATTATCCAACAATGTTTCACTAGATAAAAAAATGGAGTGTCAAAGGAAACTTGGACAAAAGCTTCTGTGTAATGCATATGACATACATATATGCAGAAGTAGTGTGTCACTGTTGACATTTACTCTCTGAATCTTTATCCCATGAAAATTGAAATGAACCCCCCTGGAGGGTTTATTAGTTTTATATCATCCTGTGAAATACCACTAAATAAGCCCTGCAGGGTAGTAGTGAGTGTATATTGGGGGCTGTGCAAGTCAGCATTGAGTGGTGAGAGTGGTAAACAAAATGTGGCAATAGCAGGGATTGATTCTTTATGGTAATAACACACATCACATAAATGGATGATAGTACAGCCTAGATAATAGGATAGTTGATTGGTCATACAATTCGATGATGTATGCAAACTTTTGAAGTATGCCACGCCCTCTGACTGCAATGGCCTACAGAAATCCACTCAGGGTTCCAGCCATAAATGAAGCCCTGACTTCCATCACTTAAACCAGAAAGATTCCCATGCCTGTTAAATTTATTCAAAAGGAAGGAAAGGTGATCAAATCAACACAGAACCATGTAGCAAAAAAGGAAAACTCGATAAATCGAAGATACCGCCAAACTAGACGTGCCAGTACTGCAACTCGAAAAAGAGGAATTTGCCACGAGCCACGCGCCTCAGACAAAAAAATTGTTCATGTCTCAGAAAAATAAGCATACATATGTTCACATACCAATTAATGACGAAAATTCAATGTTTTTTCGTTTAACTGTGCTTGTAGATGTCATAGTCTATTTAGGCTCCACTCCGCCCCCCCTGTGGTTAATGTTAATGTTGCAATGACACATGTTGCAGAATCAATGCAAATATTTCACCGCGACCTAATTTTACAATCAAGTTCCATTTTTTGCTGTACTCCTTAAATTTCTGGTGAAATTTCTCCATTGTTTTTAGGAAACTTCAATGTTTTCTGGCGCATAAATGTTGAATAACTGAGCTGAATGTTAACAGGCATATGATGTCCGGTATACGTTGAGCCTATTCCATATCCATGTAGCGTGCCAGCATGAGTAGAGTTGACTGCATGGTTGGCTTGTTTCCAATCAAACGTATGTTGTTGATGCACTGCCCACAGGAACCAGGGGATATTTTAGGGGCTAGATTGTGCACAATCAAGCGCTGTATCCGAATCGGTTACATGGAGCAAGAGCCTTTATAAAGAGCTGTCTAGGTCTTTGCTGCACTAGCAATACACAATATAAGTAGCAGTAGTTCTGTAAGGCCATTTCTGACACTGCTACAGACAGATTGACAAGATTATATGTGCAGTTTTGGGTGCTAAAATTGCACAATCTATAGACTGATACCAAACTACGTATTTACGGTACATGTTATATGAAGTAACAGGAGTCCAGACACGTTTTAATACTTTATTCACAAAATTCCCTCGATTTGAAAATATCGTAAAAAATGATATTGAGTTCATAAAATATTAATTGGAGGAAAAATTGTAAAAGTACGCCTAAATGTTGGCATCTCTGCAAAAGACATGTCCGTTACATTACGGCTGAGAAAAATAGGAACATGGCGGCAAAACCGCATTGCATTGTGGGAAGTCAGGGTACACCACGGGTGATCAAACCTTTTCAGTGAATAATTATAGGCGCATAGGAAATTTGCACATATAGTGACTCTTTGGGTAGGTAGAGCACCAATAGACTTCTGAATTTTACCAAAATTGAACGATTTTTCAATTTTTTTTAATAACTTTACCATACAAAAAGTTCGCTGGGTGTATATGAAAGTCTGAGGGTAACCATTTCTCAACGTAAAATTTGATTGACTCACCAAAAACTTCTTTAAGCCCGAACACCGATAACATGTGCCAATACCAAAGAGCTCATTTAACTTCTGAAGTTTTTTTAACATCAAAACCCAACAACTAAGTTGTCAAACGTTCACATTTTTTCACATTTCATGTAATGTTTCTCACGTTACATTTTGTTTGAGTTTTTTAACCAACACTAGACAATGGCATTTTAGGATACATCATATCATGCTTTTAGAAATAAATTGAGTTTGTGCCTTTAGAGTTTGTATTCAGTCAAAGTGATTTTAAATTCTGAATGAAACATCGCTTAAAATGTTTGAGTTCATATTTCCTTTAGACATCAAACTGACTTTCAGAATAAATCATTTGTATGCCACAACTCAGTCCCATCTTTCCTTGGAAAAGTTTGTTGTTATAATAGAATCTCACATGCACCTCTCAACCAGCGATGTGTTAAAGTGTACCACACTGCTATTAAAATGTGCAAAAATCAGGGTATTGAGACACCGACGTGATGGCTAATAATCAAGCTGATGGAGTTGAGTTACTGCAGAGACGAAAAGGAACCAATGAAATGGAAAGGCCATGATGTATTTCAATGTTTTTAGAGTCCATACAAACTGAAATGCAAGACTTCTTCGGCACTGTGAAAAATGCTACCAGAACTGGGCTGTTCTTTCCCCTTGATCTATACCAGTGCCTTTCACAAAGATGGTGCAGGGGGAGACTTAGAGCAGGTTTGGATGATTTCCTCCACATGCTGGCTTGTACATTGGAGTCACTTCTCAGTATGAGCTTGTGGTCAGGGAACACTTTGAAGTGGACATGTCACCTCCTTGCTATCATTGGAGCAAAACTGATGGATGTTGTTGAAGAGATACCACTGCCTTGCTGCACAGAGCCCAGGTACATCTCTCTCTTGTGGTAATTTAACTTATGAGGAGGTACAGTATTGCACTTGAGAAGATGAAAACACTCCTCTTCTGAGTCTGCAAATTCTCTGACATAAAAGCACCCTGGTTCATCTGAAGTAAACCTGTAATTAAACGGGAAGGTAAAAACAAAGAGGTACATTTTCAACATACATAAACATAATAATCTATCAAAACAATTGTAGCAAGATACAAAGTGAAAACATTGTTGTAAACTAGATAGGTTTGCGTTGGCATCATGGATATATCTCTTTTTGAGCAATTACAAACTTAAATAAGCTACATACACAGGAATCACTAGACTGGCTACATTGATTGTGTAAAGCTTCCAGGATACGGCTCTGCATGCCATTGGCGACAGCATGCAAAGAGCAAATAGAGTTTCATACCTAAAAGGAGATATTTCTTAATGCCTGGAAGTGCTCTGAAGTATGGGCCTGGCAATATGTGCCAGTCATACTGGGGAACAAACTGGGTACCATCCTCCTTCCCAACTAATTGAGGTACATTCAGATTTGGAAGGGAACTTGTGCCCACAACATCACACAACTCCTCTAGACTGGACACATCAGTCACACAGTAACGCTTCTTCGAAAGACCAAATAATCAGTCTGGTGCAAACTTGGTGCATCCAGCTAAGAGGAAGTTGAGTGTCATGGAGTGGTGATGGCTGTAGGTCACCTGCCACAGCATGTACCACAGCAAGTACTTATCTGGTGCAAACTTGGTGTGTCCAGCTAAGAGAAAGTTGAGTGTCATGGAGTGGTGATGGCTGTAGGTCACCCGCCACAGCATGTACCAAAGCAAGTACTTATCTGGTGCAAACTTGGTGTGTCCAGCTAAGAGAAAGTTGAGTGTCATGGAGTGGTGATGGCTGTAGGTCACCTGCCACAGCATGTACCACAGCAAGTACTTATCTGGTGCAAACTTGGTGTGTCCAGCTAAGAGAAAGTTGAGTGTCATGGAGTAATGATGGCTGTAGGTCACCTGCCACAGCATGCACCTGTTTGTGTTTTGGCCACAACAGTGTCCACAGTGTAATTTAAGTGATGGTTCCTTTAAACTGTGCTGATTAAAAAATAGGTAAAAAAGGTTGATAACCAGGTCGATGACAAAACTCATCCATCAAGATGTTCACCTGAAAAAAGAATAGATGCACAGATCTAGATTCAAGATTTAGGGATCTAGGTTCATTCCAACTTTTTTAGGTTTCAGATGGTGCTAATAACTTTACACTTTAAACAGGACACACACACAAAACAATTATTAGTGTCACTGTTCTTCCAAATACACAAGGCAACATACACTCTTTGCACTGGCAGCCATGTCTGCCTGCTGCACAGGGACAAAGAGCCTTGTCACTAAAATAGCCCACTTTGTAAAGACTCTATTGGTGCTGGTCCCATCCAGCAGAATAAAGAACTTACTTGTTTCGGAATGGCCTCGGTATCAACACCAAATATCAGGCACTTCCAGGGTGTCAGGAAATAGATGTGCTCTGGTTGAAGAGGCTATGAGGAAAGTGCACTTGTGCAAAATCAAACGAGTTGTAGACGTTGTAGTTGTAGTGTGTAGTTGTAGACGATTGATGATGATTTGTCTGCAGAATCAAGGTGTTCATCTATAGCTGCTTTGGCTTGTTGTACATGGGCTGTGTAGTGGGAGTGCTGCTTGGTAGCAGTCAGATGGGGCTTCTCCTGCTCCTTCAGCTTGTTCCCTTTTTCACTTGTGTTTGCTGATCTAATAATAAAGAAAAGGAACGATAATTACTTTTGTTCATGTGTTGCCTTTGTTGCATGTGCTACAGACCTTTCTCATGGAACTGCCATCTTTAATTTTTCCAATTCAAGTGGCAGACTTTGGAAATCAGCATTTTGGAACAGTCCGGGAACTTGACAAAGATGGTTGCAGCATGATAATGGTCTATAATGCACTAAGAATTAAAAAAAAAAGTAATCAGCCTGCCAGATCATGTTATAATGGAGCTGCTGTTTTCTGGACATGTGGCAGAGGGGTCTGTCATTGGCCTGGTGGTAATGATGTGGGAGCACAATTCCTCCCAAATGTCCCGGAAGGACATTTTGTGATTGGCTATAGTGGTGGTAGAAGTTGTATAGAAGCAGGAAGTGGCACTAAGCTGTTCAAGAAATTCTAGTTTTAACATGTCAAAAGTATCATTACACATGATTAGTACCACTTACCCCCCGTTGTCATGTTCTTGTACACTGGTTTTTGTAGAGTTGCTCAGAAGCAGCACATTATCGTTTCGTCCGTGGCCCTCTACCCTAGCTGGGAGCATTATAGCATGTGTGAAGGCATAGATACTAGGCTTACATTGTTCTTTTTGAAAAGATATTGCTTGCCAAAAGTTGTTCTGTTTGTAACAAACCAAAGGACTACAGCAAAATAAACTTGTTGATCAAATTGCCATCTTGAGGTGAATACCCATTGCCTGAAAATACACCACCATGCTTGCTTCAGCCACGGAAAGTATACAAGCAGTATCATAGGGCTAGGACCCATGTGGTAGTACGATGGCATTCCACCCGCCAACCACCAAATAAATGAAAACAGTAAGAAAAACTTGTCACAAATTCTCCTCAAGGATCAAATCAACCAACTAATCATGTAGTATTAGCAAGTAACATTGGTCTAAACCCACCTTCATTGAATGCACCAAGTTCCAGACATGATGTGAGCAATGCATCACTAGTGAAAGCCTGATGACCTCCTTTACTTTTGCAGGTACATTTGAAGCTCTCGTTTCTTGGTTTCAAAATGGTCACTAACCCAATTCTTGGCTTCCTCACATGCAATTCTTTCCCCAACATGCAAATCTTTGTCACTATTACCACTATCAATGTTGTCACAACAGACAAGAGGGATTTGAAGGCTACTTGCATTGGCGCTCTGCAGTAGATCATTCTCCCAGTTATACATGTCACTACTATCCTCGCCCTTGTCACTTTCAGATTCTTCAGAGGCTGGATTTACCACTTACAAAATAATCATCGATAAACTGCTTCCATTCGGCACCCTCTTCTTCTCTTTTGTGTAACTTGCAGCCCCTAATACTGATTAGTAACTCTGAAATATGATTCTCTTGAGAATTCATGACAGCAACCCATTGCAAACACGTTCTCTTTGCCATTGGAAACAGTTTAGATAATGTAGTTATGCAAGCGAGGTGTAACATTCATCTACTGCGCGAGCGCAGAAATGACATCAGCATACACTAAGCTACATGTACCACATGATCAAGAACAGCCAATGGCACTCGACTTTATGGCACAGCAATGTAATGAGGCCGTAGCTGTTTAAATTTTCTTTCATGTTTTGTTATTGGTTTTGATGGATTTCTTGACCTTTATTTATAGCCCAGGCAATTCCCTTTCCCACAGTATCAAACATGGCACCCTTGGATGTTCAAGCGGCTCAGCGATGGCTGTCAAAGTACAACTGTTCTTGAGCTCTCTTTCGAACGAAACCTGTGAAAGTAGTGAAATTCTGGAATGGACACGTCTAAGAAAAATACTAAAGCACATGCTATCATCAGAATTTTCAGAAATATATAGCATATGAAAGTATGTGTAGACATTCCAAGGTACGTTTTTCAGCCCCCCCAAATAAACAAAAATCAATTTATTTGACCCCCGTACTCGTATTTTGCCAGTAAAGTAATCTACTTATGCCACAATACACGTCATTTACTCGCGCTGGGTCACATATGCTCATTGTGAGCATGATCTTGTCTAAAGTGTGCTCGTATTAATTGTGTTCAACTGCAGTTACATGTAGATGCAATACATGATAATGCAGTCCATATTGAACAAACAAATGGCACATGCACAGCATACTAGATTTCCATTTGAAGTTAAAGGTAGTGTACACTGTTAGTATCAAAAATGGGACTGCTGAATTATATTAAGATATCTTAACATAAAGTAACTAAATTACACCGCGAGACATTATGTGAAATCTTTCTGCCTGGAATGCTGTCATTTTCACCATCATCTGACAAAATAGATATACTGTACATCTGTTGATGACAGATCAAAGGAGAATTTGAAATTGAATTTATGCATGATCCGAACTGAGCAGTAATGGGCAACATGGCCTCTCCTTTCCAGACTCAGTGCTGAAGCCCATGTCCTTGAACAAAATCTGTGATTCCGGACATTTCACTTCCTACTTTCCTGTCACAATAACTTTTTGCCAATAATCAAGGGTAGATACTATTTTTGTTGATTTTTCATTTGCTTTTTTGACTGACTTGCATGTGACATAAGCATGTGGGTCATGCATGCATTTTGATGGATTGTGGCTGTGGTGATGGCACTCATTCTACCGTACAGTGAAGTGTTGTTTATTTGACAAATCCACAGCATTTAATTGCTGAGGAAAGAGACACACACTTAAAGGTAAATTTGCCAACCACTAAATGTACTTGAAGCCATGCTTTATCCAGGCACTCTGAATGTCCTGAGGTCCATGGCATTTTTGCAAGATGAATTACACGAGCTGTGCTTTGAATGTTAAAAACAAACAGCAATTTTGTTGATTATTCTAGAAGTAATGAACTCAAAATATGCAACAAGTCAATGGAATGATACCCAAGGAAAATAGCCCATTCACAATCGACTAATTTTGAAAAAATACAGCCAACACAAATGGTACTACCTTTGAGAGGTGGTATACATTTTCTGCAAGCACATCTTTGACTGCAGTTTTGTTGAATTTGTAAAGGACATTTTAAATTGAAATTCCAACTGCTCAATATTCCCTGTTCAAGGATTCAAAATATAAGCAATCTCCAATTCCTTTCATGGCTACGCTACTGAATGCTGGTACTTGTCTGTAAATTTGTGTGTGTTTTTATTGGTGTTATTGTTTACCTTTCCAATATTTTTTATAAGTTTCAATCTATCTTGTATATATCTTTATAATATCCCCCTTTTGCTGTTTGGCTGTAATTTTTATTACATTTTATTCTTTTGTATTGTAAATCAGACATTGTTAGTCTTTGGACTTGTTGTTTGATCAGTTTTACAATACACCGTAACGAATGAATGAATGGAGGGATGAATGAATGAATAAATGAATGGATGAAAAAGGTGCATTACTGTTTGAAGCAAACCTAATCAGCATAACTAGTACCTGTCGCATACTGGTGTTTGGCCATCCAAGCGGAGGTATCGATACTGATGATGTTTCATGTAACTTTCAATGATGTCAAGAACCATCACAAACTGACTGAACATAAGTACTCTGTCACCCTACAAAAATGAAGACAAACATACATGTATGACTTAATAGCATTTCCACAGCAACTTAAGCTGCAGTTACGTATATAAATACATGTACATGTAAGTTCCAGCATGAGCTACTGTTTGAATATTAGTCAATTTGTCTTTACCAAAAGGCAAACACAGCACAGTCCTGTACCAATCGTGTTTGCAAAAAAACATGTTTCCCCCACACTTTTGTTACTTGCATTTTTTTTATGTTCTCCCAGTTGTTACATCATAAATCCTTTTCATATTGTTGGTTTTCCCATACTTAAAAGAAGGTTAGGTTGGTGTAGTGGTTCTTTCCTCGCCTTCCACCTCTGTGGCCTGGGTTCAAATCCCGGCCTGGTCCACACATGGATTGGGTTTTCAGTCCCTACCTGATTCTGTGGGTTTTACCCAGAATATTCCTCTGGGGTTTTCCTCCCACCTCTAAAACTGTAAGTGCTTCTCATTGTCTCCTCTCTACAGGTTTCTTCAGGCTTGCAAGTTACAGTTTCTAGTGAGCTCCATTGAGAAATCCTTCGTGTCATTGCAAGAAATTATAATAACAACAATAAGGTTGAGAACCAGAGCTGCCAAAGGTTCACTAGAGAAGTTCAATCACCCAATGCTTGTCAGTTTCCCAACCCAAAGGTCATGTTTAGTTACTGTCTTTCCTTTGAAGCAGTTAGTAGCTAGAGCTTACACGTAATTCCTCTATGTGGAAAAGGGAGGGTCATTGTTCTTCTGGTAAATGTAGGACGTTCCAGACAGGTTCTACAGCATAAAAACCTCTTTTCCTTTGGACGGAGCCCAAATTAAGGGTCGGCCGGAAATGGCAACCAAAGAAAAGAATGGCAACATAAAAAAAACTGTTGATCCCTAATAAGACAGAACATTTGCCCTATGCAGACTCCAAAAACAGGCACAACTGAAACTGTGGCAACACTGGCTAAAAATATTTGCCCCGTTGTGAAGGAGATTGATCTAGTTTTTGGTTCTGCATTATTTAACTGATGTTAATTAATAATATTAAGAATTACATGAGCATTGTTTTCAATTTGGTCCATCTGATGAAAGCCTCATTCTACCACTACCACCATCCAATATCCTATACACAACACAAAGCCCATTTTTCATGGAACACACATTTTTTAATAAAAAGAAATAAGTTAGAAAATTTGAAAAACAGAGAAATTGTACTGACTGAAACATCTACAAGAAATGAAGCATGTGCACAATCCTACCTTTTGTTTCATATCAGGCAGCATCTTATCCAAAATCTGGAATTTTCCAGAGGCAAGCAGTAGATCTGTTGAGAGTCTGAATGGAGTCAGGATTGAATATTCATGGCAAAGTTTATGCAGCTCAAAGTCATTCATCACCGACATGTCCTCAAAAATAAGATCAGGATTGGCATCACAATGACTTGGCTCCTGAAAACACACAAGGGAAAAAGAATAACAGGATTATCAGTGTCATGATACAGAACTGGCTTGAAAAGTACAAGTCCATGTACCTGAGACTTGAGCATTTAAGATTGTCTGATGGATTGCTCAATGGCCATTCAGAAATCAAAAGCAATTTGGTTATATTGTTTTCTACCCCAGAGTATTGTTTTCTACCCAGAGTGCTTTCAAGTAATCTGGGGCAATGTTTTACTGAGCCAAAGATGCACAACTTAACGGTCATATGGGTCTGTTAAGTATATGCAGCACCTTTCTCCCAAAGTAAAATTCAGAAATCACTGATTTGAAATCAAGGTAAAGCTAATAATGTTTTCTACTGGCACCGAAAATTTCACTGGAAGCTCAACATAGTGCCAATCTTATATACTTCTGTAACATTAGCCACTTTTTAACCATTTTAGAATCCAGTTTTCATTGATGACAAACAAACGAGGGTAACCATAACTGAAAAGAGCCCTGTTCAATTCAGCATCCTCATTCTGTACGCCTTTCCAATGAAAGGCCTACCAATGTTAACCAATGATGATGGGGTATCACATGGTGTTAACTTGGCATTTTGATTGCTGTGGTAAATCCCACTAAACAGAACCAAATAGCAGTTGTCTCACATAACTGACATGAACGCTGCAGTGCATCATCAGATTTAAATGAAGTCTTGTAGTTGAAAAGATTACATTCTGAGCTTCAGGTTGCTATACATTGTAACAATTTCTGACACTTATTTTAGGAGAAAGTAAGTGTTACTTTAGGACACCCTGTATTTTGAGGATTTCAGACAAAACCATGAGTAAATTTGACCTCTTATGTGAAAACTTTAAAATGTAAACCTTATGCCTTACTCCTGTTTACTTCCACTGAGATACATGTAACACGTTCTGTCTAGATTTTTTGTACTGCATCTTTTG